GCAGATTCTTGGGAATGATGTTGAAGAATCAGTCACAATGTTGAAGTTACGCTGGGGCTGGATATTTCAACAAGACAACGACCCAAAACACAGCTCAACATCTACCCAGGCATTTATGCAGAGGAACAAGTACAATGTTCTGGAATGGCCATCCCAGTCCCCAGACCTGAATATCATTGAGAATCTGTGGGATGATTTGAAGCGGGCTGTCCATGCTCGGCAACCATCAAACCTAACTGAACTGGCGATGTTTTGTAAGGAGGAATGGTCCAAAATACCTTCATCCAGAATCCAGACACTCATTAGAGGCTATAGGAAGCATCTAGAGGCTGTTATTTTAGCAAAAGGAGGCTCTACTAAATATTGATGTGATTTTTCTGTTGGGGTGCCCAAATTTATGCACCTGTCTAATTTCGTTTTGATGCATATTGCACATTTTCTTTTAATCCAATAAACCTAATTTCACTACTGAAATATTACTTGGTCCATCAGTTATTTGATAGCTCAAAATGAAATTGCTGATCCAAACACCCAATATATATGTCAGGGGTGCCCAAACTTTTTCATACGACTTTATATACACAGTGCATTCAGAAAGTATTCATACCACATTTTTTTACGTTACAGCTTTATTCTAAAATGGACTAAATTGTTTTTCCCCCCTCAATCTACACACAATATCCCATAATGACAAAGCAAAAAACAGGTTAAGAAATATTGCATAAGTATTCAGACATTTTACTCAGGACTTTGTTGAAGCACCTTTGGCATCGATTACAGCCTCGAGTCTTGAATGAATGGGGCCATGTATCGTGAGATTTTGAGTCAAAACCTCCTTCCATCAGCAAGGGCATTGAAGATGAAACGTGGCTGGGTCTTTCAGCATGACAATGCACCCAAACACACCGCCCGGGCAATGAAGGAGTGGCTTCGTAAGAAGCATTTCAAGGTCCTGGAGTGGCCTAGCCAGTCTCCAGATCTCAACCCCATAGAAAATCTTTGGAGGGAGTTGAAAGTCTGTGTTGCTCAGCGACAGCCCCAAAACATCACTGCTCTAGAGGAGATCTGCATGGAGGAATCGGCCAAAATACCAGCAACAGTGTGTGAAAACCTTGTGAAGACTTACAGAAAAGGTTTGACCTGTGTCATTGCCAACAAAGGGTATATAACAAAGTATTGAGAAACTTTTGTTGTTGACCAAATACTTATTTTCCACCATAATCTGCAAATAAATTCATTAAAAATCCTACAATGTGATTTTCTGGATTTTTTTTCCTCATTTTGTCTGTCATAGTTGACTTGTACCTATGATGAAAATTACAGGCCTCTCATCTTTTTAAGTGGGAGAACTTGCACAATTGGTGGCTAAATACTTTTTTCCCCCACTGTATATGTGTAGGCAATACTGTGTGTGGCATGTATCATGGATGATGAAATCAAGCATAAGCAGAGAAATTCTTATGTTCTCCTGTGAAAGGAAGTATTTCCAGATAGTGGACTAACAAGGATCTTCCATACCAGCTGATGATCTGTTGACTTACGTTTATTATTTAGAATTAGCAGTGTTTCGTGTCTCTTCCATGTTCATGTGGTTTATACATTACTGTATTTATAATCCCAGAAAGTATATTGTCCGGTAGTTGACCCAGGTTGGTCAAACTAGCCCCTCTCCTACATATCCACTCGCATGTCAGTCAGGGCTATTTCTTCACTTTTATTGGTGTTTTTTCTCTGAAGAGTGTACAGAGAACCACGCCCCACCCATCTTTTTGTGGGACTTGGAAATGTGACGTCATTGGAGCCCACAGTGATGGGAAGTGGCTCGAGCGCTGGTGAGTTCCTCTCTAAACCAATAAAATCACTGAATTCGATTGTGTCATTTCGACAGGGACGAAAGAAACTGCAATACATTTTGGGGCTTGTAAATTTACGGAAGTATCGGGCGAGGATAGCTCTGTTATCGCAACATTCTCAGCTAATAGTTTGATTTGGAAATGGCTGGAAGTAAGTAAACGTATTTTGTTTTGTAAAGGTATTCGTCTGCTTACGAACAGCTTGACAGTTGGCCGCGCGCTAGCAGGTAATTTTGCTGCTACATTATTGTCATGCTGTCAAAACAGCCACGAACGTGATGGGATGTTTTAGTGGCAGTATGGTATGTGTCATTAAAGAAACTTGTGTAATTTATAGCTAGTTACTTTGATGGGTAACCTAGATCCAAATATTGTGTACAGAGCATGCATAGTTTGCTTGCTAGCTAATTTACCTTGTAACGTTACAGGTGCAAATTCGGCTAGTTAGCGTGCCGAGGTAAATACATGTGCCCAGTCAGTATTATTTCAGTGGTCACAGCACGGCTAGCTAGGTTTGGCCATTTTAAATACGGGATTGGGCTGAGGATTTGGCTAATAACATTATAGTTGATGGTGTGTTGTCACTATGTGTGTCTGCAAAGTAGAGAACGCTTATGTGCGCAGTCTGTAAATTTGTATTTAATATAACAATTTTGGACCGTTGACCCCTCTCCCTGCTCGTGTGGGTCCTCTAACGTTACCTGACCCAAGAGAGACCTGCCAGTGTTGCCATTGCACAACAAGGAACTGGTATGATTACTGTAGCTTACAGAAATAGTGATGTAACATGTCTCGTCTTGCATAAAGAATCTTGTAGATGTGTGCTTATTTTATTGATCTTGTCTATTCTACTTTCAGATTATGTGACAGAATAACTATATACACTGAGTATACCAAACATTAGGAACACCTTCCTAATATTGCGCCCCCCTCCCTCCCTCCTTTGGGTGGTGGACCGTTCATGATACACATGGAAACTGTTGAGCGTAAAAAACCCAGCAGTGTTGCAGTTCTTGACGCCTGGCACCAATTACCATACTCTGTTCAAAGGCACTTAAATCTGTTTCTTTGCCCATTCACACTCTGAATGGCACACACACAAGCCATGTCTCGAGGCTTAAAAATCATTATTTAACCTGTCTCCTTCCCTATATCTACACTGATTTGAAGTGGATTTAACAAGTGACATCAATAAGGGATCATAGCTTTCACTTGGTCAGTCTGTCATGGAAAGAGCAGGTGTTCTTAATGTTTTGTACACTCAGTGTATAGAAACAATGTATCTTGATTTAGAAGAGGTGCTAAACCAGGACTTAGTTATAACCCATTGCCATGTACAGTGGGGAGAACAAGTATTTGATACACTGCCGATTTTGCAGGTTTTCCTACATACAAAGCATGTAGAGGTCTGTAATTTTTATCATAGGTACACTTCAACTGTGAGAGATGGAATCTAAAACAAAAATCCAGAAAATTACATTGTATGATTTTTTTGTAATTAATTTGCATTTTATTGCATGACATAAGTATTTGATCACCTACCAACCAGTAAGAATTCCGGCTCTCACAGACCTGTTAGTTTTTCTTTAAGAAGCCCTCCTGTTCTCCACTCATTACCTGTATTAACTGCACCTGTTTGAACTCGTTACCTGTATAAAAGACACCTGTCCACACACTCAATCAAACAGACTCCAACCTCTCCACAATGGCCAAGACCAGAGAGCTGTGTAAGGACATCAGGGATAAAATTGTAGACCTGCACAAGGCTGGGATGGGCTACAGGACAATAGGCAAGCAGCTTGGTGAGAAGGCAACAACTGTTGGCGCAATTATTAGAAAATGGAAGAAGTTCAAGATGACGGTCAATCACCCTCGGTCTGGGGCTCCATGCAAGATCTCACCTCGTGGGGCATCAATGATCATGAGGAAGGTGAGGGATCAGCCCAGAACTAGAGTCTCAAAGAAAACCATTAGCAACACACTACGCCGTCATGGATTAAAATCCTGCAGCGCACGCAAGGTCCCCCTGCTCAAGCCAGCGCATGTCCAGGCCCGTCTGAAGTTTGCCAATGACCATCTGGATGATCCAGAGGAGGAATGGGAGAAGGTCATGTGGTCTGATGAGACAAGAATATAGCTTTTTGGTCTAAACTCCACTCGCCGTGTTTGGAGGAAGAAGAAGGATGAGTACAACCCCAAGAACACCATCCCAACCGTGAAGCATGGAGGTGGAAACATCATTCTTTGGGGATGCTAGGACGACTGCACCATATTGAGGGGAGGATGGATAGGGCCATGTATCGCGAGATCTTGGCCAACAACCTCCTTCCCTCAGTAAGAGCACTGAAGATGGGTCGTGGCTGGCTCTTCCAGCATGACAACGACCCAAAACACACAGCCAGGGCAACTAAGGAGTGGCTCCGTAAGAAGCATCTCAAGGTCCTGGAGTGGCCTAGCCAGTCTCCAGACCTGAACCCAATAGAAAATCTTTGGAGGGAGCTGAAAGTCCGTATTGCCCAGCGACAGCCCCAAAACCTGAAGGATCTGGAGAAGGTCTGTATGGAGGAGTGGGCCAAAATCCCTGCTGCAGTGTGTGCAAACCTGGTCAAGACCTACAGGAAACGTATGATCTCTGTAATTGCAAACAAAGGTTTCTGTACCAAATATTAAGTTCTGCTTTTCTGATGTATCAAATACTTATGTCATGCAATAAAATGCAAATGAATTACTTAAAAATCATACAATGTGATTTTCTGGATTTTTGTTTTAGATTCCGTCTCTCACAGTTGAAGTGTACCTATGATAATAATTACAGACCTCTACATGCTTTGTAAGTAGGAAAACCTGCAAAATCGGCAGTGTATCAAATACTTGTTCTCCCCATTGTAGGTAAGATAAGAGTACTGTTTTTGAAGGTGGCACACAATACATCTTGATTATTTCCTATCAGCCTATGACCAGAAAGGGTAGGCCTATTCTTTACCAAATGTGTATAATGCAGTACTGAACAAATGGCTGTGTAATACCTTTATCATATGATTTGTGTTTATGATGGTTTATAGACTCTAGGCTGTTCAAGTTCCCTGGTTAGGCCAATCTTGTTCTTGATAATAACTCGTTTTTGACATTTACCTTTGCCTAGGAAAAATGAGTGCCATTCCCCTCTCTCGGTCTGAGGTGTTCGGGGAGCTGCGGAAGGAGCTGCATGAGGACGAAGAGTTCCATCAGTCTGACGCTCACATCTTCATCATCATGGGAGCATCGGTGAGATAGGGAAGATGCGAGGGAATGTGGGGGAATTAGAGGCTACTTTGATTATTGATGAATGACCCTGCAAGTTTTGGCACTCCACAGCACAGGCAATTTAATTTTTATAATTACAAAAGTTGTGAATGTATGTGTGTGTTGGATGCATATTTTAGAGAGTCATTGATAAAATAAGTGAATCACTTGAGGTTATGAAATACTCTGAAAATGTGTGCCATTTAAGACGCTTTTATCCAAACCAACTTACAGTCATGCGTGAATACATTTTACATATGGCGGCCCCAGCAGGAATCGAACCCACAACCTTTGGCATTGCAAGCGCCATGCTCTACCGGCTGAGCCACACAGGACCAATATGATGAAATGAAACCAGTAATCCATTCTGAGGTAGTTTAAGATCGATCAAATTTGCATTAGATTAACTATTTACTAAATGTAGGCTACCAAACTGCATATATTAGGATACATTTGGCCTAGGCACATATGAGTATTTTCCCAGAATCATTGTTATTTTTTGTTCAGTTATACCTATTTTATACACACTTTATAATAGATTTTAGGTGGACAGAGAAGGGAACACATTTAGTGAGAACGGTGTGTTGAAACCTCAAAACGGACAAGAGGGGTTGCACATGACTGTTTGAGGAAATGTAGAAATTTCATTGAGACACATTACACAGAGCTTGAGTAACTAAGCAACCCCAGAAACACTTCAGCTCTCTGTAGTCTGGCCTTGATACAAAGAGAACCAACAATCATGAACCTTGACATTATGGTTTGGACACAGACCGTTTGTTAGCCAATCATGGTCAGCTCAAACAGTTTGTTAGTCAATCATGTTGCGCAAAGACAGTTTGTTGGCCAATCATAGTGTATGAACTGATATTTTGTTGACCAACTCAGCTTACTGACTGTATGTTCCCCAGTCACATAGAGATAGCCTAACGAGTCAGAATGTCATATTTCCCATAGCCATTAATTCTCTCCTCCTATCTGTACCTACAAGGATGATCAATTCAGTGACTCAGTCCAGTCACTTTGAAGTTGTATTTTCTTACAGTATTTCCTTCTCTAGAAATGTCACCCTCCTCTTTAGGCCTACACTGTTTTTTCATGTTTCCTTCTTCTCTACTGGCCTGTAACACCTGCCCAGTTAACTGATAAACTGTACTGTCGGAGAGTAGCTCAGATGTTTCATTCTTCCGCCCACTTTTCCATCTAGGCTAGGTTCTCCCACTCTATTTTCTCTTGGTTGAAAGGAGTGGTGTGAGAGCTGAATAGTGCAGTTCCCTTTCATAATGAAGGTAATAGAGAAGCATGTTGGGAATCAGGATGGGGGAAGGGTAATGGTGGTAAGGCATAGCCTTGTGGTGTCTGGTGGTTTTTGGGAACAGTGATGTACTACTACATAGGTTACTGTAAAATATGCTTTGTGTGCAATGCTGCAGTCTGTCCTTGACACTCAGCAAGCACACACCAATCATCAGCTGGTGTTACATGCACACAAAAACACACCGCAGGCACACACACCACCTCACTCGACATGGCCTCATTATAGTCACTGTGCCAATTTAAACGGTTAGTAAATATTCATGATTAACTGAAGAATGACGAGAGACATGTGATTGGAGGGTGTTTGTCAAGTCGCCCTCAGTTTGGATTTTTCTCTCAGCTGAGGCGGGACAGAAGGCCAGCAGTCATGGACAGACTGGGGCATAGGCTAATGCATATCAGTTTAAAGGTGTAACCCATTGAGTCATTAAAGACACAACAACTCACTGGAATAGGACACAAATAATAGTCCATAAGGCCATTCGGATGATTATTATGTTTAAGTTTTCCCCCAAATGACAAACAAGTGGCAAACAAAGCCCGCTTGGTGTTCAACCTCCCTATGTTCTCCAATGTCACCACGCTCCTCCGCATACTCCACTAGGTTCCAGTCGAAGCTCGCATCATCTTCAAGACCATGGTGCTTGCCTACGGAACAGCAAGGGGAACTGCACCTCCTTACCTTCAGGCTATGCTCAAACCCTACATCCCAATCCGAGCACTCTGTACTGCCACCTCTGGTCTCTTGGCCCTCCCACCCCTACAGGAGGGCAGCTCCCGCTCAGCCCAGTCCAAGCTCTTCTCTGTCCTGGCACCCCAATGGTGGCACAAGCTTCCCCCTAAAGTCAGGACAGCGGAGTCCCTACCCATCTTTTGAAAACGTCAACCTTACCTCTTTGAAAAGTGTCTTAAGTAACTCTCACTATGACCCCCCCCACACACTTTGCTGATAAATACTTTGAGGGAAAATGTACTTTATACAATTGTGATGTTGTCTCACCTAGCTATTTTAAGATGAATGCACTAATTGTAAGTCACTGTACTAATAATCACCACACTGACAGACCTGAATGAACGGTCTGCCTGTAGTGCCAAGCTAGCCTCTGTTTCAGTCAACATTGTAGAGGTGACTAATCTGGTTTTGTGTTAATAATGTTCATATGTTTCTCTTTAGGGGGATCTAGCCAAAAAGAAAATCTACCCAACTCTATGGTGAGTGTGCAGCCTCTTTAGTCTTAAAATGAGAAGTCTATCACAGGGCAGCTGTTTGCACTGGATTTTCGTGTAATAAGCAGTCAACCCCTCTTTTTCTCTGAGTTGTCAAGTGATGAGTAAAAACTCCTGTCTAATGAGCCTCCTTTCTGTTCTCCCCCCCTCACTCAGGTGGTTGTTTAGAGATGGTCTCCTCCCTGAACAGACTCACTTTGTGGGCTTTGCCCGCTCAGACCTCACGGTGGATGCCATCAAAAATGCCTCCATGCCCTATATGAAGGTGATTCTTTCCCATCAACACATTATCTAGCATTACACATTGATCCACATTTTTTACACTGAGTGAGTTAATGCATATGTACAGTGGGGGAAAAAAAGTATTTAGTCAGCCACCAATTGTGCAAGTTCTCCCACTTAAAAAGATGAGAGAGGCCTGTAATTTTCATCATAGGTACACGTCAACTATGACAGACAAATTGAGAGAAAAAAAATCCAGAAAATCACATTGTAGGATTTTTAATGAATTTATTTGCAAATTATGGTGGAAAATAAGTATTTGGTCACCTATAAACAAGCAAGATTTCTGGCTCTCACAGACCTGTAACTTCTTCTTTAAGAGGCTCCTCTGTCCTCCACTCGTTACCTGTATAAATGGCACCTGTTTGAACTTGTTATCAGTATAAAAGACACCTGTCCACAACCTCAAACAGTCACACTCCAAACTCCACTATGGCCAAGACCAAAGAGCTGTCAAAGGACACCAGAAACAAAATTGTAGACCTGCACCAGGCTGGGAAGACTGAATCTGCAATAGGTAAGGAGCTTGGTTTGAAGAAATCAACTGTGGGAGCAATTATTAGGAAATGGAAGACATACAAGACCACTGATAATCTCCCTCCATCTGGGGCTCCACGCAACATCTCACCCTGTGGTGTCAAAATGATCACAAGAACGGTGAGCAAAAATCCCAGAACCACACGGGGGGACCTAGTGAATGACCTGCAGAGAGCTGGGACCAAAGTAACAAAGCCTGCCATCAGTAACACACTACGCCGCCAGGGATTCAAATCCTGCAGTGCCAGACGTGTCCCCCTGCTTAAGCCAGTACATGTCCAGGCCCGTCTGAAGTTTGCTAGAGTGCATTTGGATGATCCAGAAGAGGATTGGGAGAATGTCATATGGTCAAATGAAACCAAAATATAACTTTTTGGTAAAAACTCAACTCGTCGTGTTTGGAGGACAAAGAATGCTGAGTTGCATCCAAAGAACACCATACCTACTGTGAAGCATGGGGGTGGAAACATCATGCTTTGGGGCTGTTTTTCTGCAAAGGGACCAGGACGACTGATCCGTGTAAAGGAAAGAATTAATGGGGCCATGTATCGTGAGATTTGAGTGAAAACCTCCTTCCATCAGCAAGGGCATTGAAGATGAAACGTGGCTGGGTCTTTCAGCATGACAATGATCCCAAACACACCGCCCGGGCAACGGAGTGGATTCGTAAGAAGCATTTCAAGGTCTTGGAGTGGCCTAGCCAGTCTCCAGATCTCAACCCCATAGAAAATCTTTGGAGGGAGTTGAAAGTCCGTGTTGCCCAGCGACAGCCCCAAAACATCACTGCTCTAGAGGAGATCTGCATGGAGGAATGGGCCAAAATACCAGCAACAGTGTGTGAAAACCTTGTGAAGACTTACAGAAAACGTTTGACCTGTGTCATTGCCAACAAAGGGTATATAACAAAGTATTGAGAAACTTTTGTTATTGACCAAATACTTATTTTCCACCATAATTTGCCAATAAATTCATTAAAAATCCTACAATGTGATTTTCTGGATTTTCTTTCTCTCAATTTGTCTGTCATAGTTGACGTGTACCTATGATGAAAATTACAGGCCTCTCTCATCTTTTTAAGTGGGAGAACTTGCACAATTGGTGGCTGACTAAATACTTTTTCCCCCACTGTATGCATGTTAAAACCATAGACATATGACATCATTACTATCTCTCTGTGGTCCCAGGTGGCAGACTCTGAGGCGGAGCGGTTGTCGGTGTTCTTCAGCCGTAACTCTTATGTCAGTGGGAAGTACACGGAGGAGAGTGCCTTCTCCAACCTCCACACCCACCTGTTGTCCCTGCCTGGGGGGAGCGAGGCCAACCGCCTCTTCTACCTCGCCCTGCCGCCCAGCGTCTACCACGACGTCACCAAAAACATCAAGCACCACTGCATGAGTACCAAGTCAGTAACCCTGTCATGTCTTGCTCTGACTGCCTCTCCTCTCAATCCTCTTCTGTGGTGTTGCTAGGGACTGGAACAGGCCTGGTCATATTTAATCCACTTGCTTTATGTAATTGGTCTTGTCTGGGGAGAGTTGCTCATTAGATTAGCTTTCCCCTCTTCCGCTGTTTAATAACCAAAACATGCTTACCTCCCCTCCTATCTGTGTGTTTTTAGTAGGGGCTGGAACAGGGTGATTGTGGAGAAGCCATTTGGTCGTGACCTGCAGAGCTCAGAGGAGCTGTCCACCCACCTCTCTTCCCTGTTCACTGAGGACCAGATCTACCGCATAGACCACTACCTGGGCAAGGAGATGGTGCAGAACCTCATGGTCCTCAGGTACAGTGCCTTGCAAAAGTATTCACCCCCCTTGGCGTTTTTCCTATTTTGTTGCATTACAACCTGTAATTTAAATTGATTTTTATTTGGATTGCATGTAATGGACATACACAAAATAGTCAAAATTGGTGAAGTGAAATGAAAAAAATAACTTGTTTGAAATAATTATCCAAAATAAATAACGGAAAAGTGGTGCGTGTATATGTATTCACCCCCTTTGCTATGAAGCCCCTAAATAAGATCTGGTGCAACCAATTACCTTCAGAAGTCACATAATTAGTTAGATTGCACACAGGTGGACTTTATTTAAGTGTCACATGATCTGTCACATGATCTCAGTATATATACACCTGTTCTTAAAGGCCAACTAAGCAAGGGGCACCACCAAGCAAGCGGCACCATGAAGACCAAGGAGCTCTCCATACAGGTCAGGGACAAAGTTGTGGAGAAGTACAGATCAGGGTTAGGTTATAAAAAAATATCCGAAACTTTGAACATCCCACGGAACACCATTTTAAATCCATTATTAAAAAATTGAAAGAATATGGCACCACAACAAACCTGCCAAGAGAGGGCCGACCACCAAAACTCACGGACCAGGCAAGAAGGGCATTAATCAGAGAGGCAACAAAGAGACCAAAGATAACCCTGAAGGAGCTGCAAAGCTCCACAGCGGAGATTGAAGTATCTCTCCATAGGACCACTTTAAACTGTACACTCCACAGAGCTGGGCTTTACGGAAGAGTGGCTAGAAAAAAGCCATTGCTTAAAGAAAAAAATTATCAAACACGTTTGGTGTTCGCCAAAATGTATGTGGGATACTCCCCCAAACATATGGAAGAAGGTACTCTGGTCAGATTGAGATTTTTGGCCATCAAGGAAAACGCAATGTCTGTCTCTCATCACCCTGAGAATACCATCCCCACAGTGAAGCATGGTGGTGGCAGCATCATGCTGGGGGATGTTTTTAATCGGCAGGGACTGGGAAACTGGTCAGAATTGAAGGAATGATGGATGGTGCTAAATACAGGGAAATTCTTGAGGGAAACCTGTTTCAGTCTTCCAGAGATTTGAGACTGGGACGGAGGTTCACCTTCCAGCAGGACAATGACCCTAAGCATACTGCTAAAGCAACACTCGAGTGGTTTAAGGGGAAACATTGAAATGTCTTGGAATGGCCTAGTCAAAGCCCAGACCTCAATCCAATTGATAATCTGTGGTATGACTTAAAGATTGCTGTACACCAGCGGAACCCATCCAACTTGAAGGAGCTGGAGCAGTTTTGCCGTTGAAGAATGGGCTAAAATCCCAGTGGCTAGATGTGCCATGCTTATAGAGACATATCCCAAGAGACTTGCGGCTGTAATTGCTGCAAAAGGTGGCTCTACAAAGTATTGACTCAGGGGGGGTGAATAGCTATGCACGCTCAAGTTCTCTGTTTCTTTGTCTTATTTCTTGTTTGTTTCACAATAATAAATATTTTGCATCTTCAAAGTGGTAGACATGTTGTGTAAATCAAATGATACAAACCCCCCAAAAATCCATTTTAATTCCAGGTTATAAGTCAACAAAATAGGAAAAATGCCAAGGGGGGTGAATACTTTCACAAGCCACTGTACAGGACAAATACAGGCTACACTCTGTTTTTCTATTCTCTATTGCAGTCTCTGTCCCTCACTCTCTTTGCTTGGAGTTAGAGAGAACAACATGAATAAACCTTGCCACAGACAGTTGTTTGCATCTTTGTCCATGTCAATAAGGCTGAGGTTAAACAGTGGTAAATATTCCAGGTTTGGGAACCGGATCTTTGGGCCTATCTGGAACAGGGACAGCATAGCTTGTGTGGTCCTCACCTTCAAAGAACCCTTCGGCACCCAGGGCCGGGGCGGCTACTTTGACGACTTTGGAATCATCCGGTGAGGAGAACTGCCTTAGTGCTCAATGAAATCAAACCTCAATGAAGGCATTTATTTGTGCCATGTTTGTAACTTATCTCACCCTCAATTCTGTATAAACATTTTTTTTCAGGGATGTCATGCAGAACCACTTGCTCCAGATGCTCTCGCTGGTTGCCATGGAGAAGCCTGCCTCCACCAGCTCTGATGATGTCAGGGATGAAAAGGTACAGCAACATGGACACAAACTAAAGCCCAAAACACATGTCTTCACTTGACTCCACCATTGGCCCCCGTCCAGAAAACGACTGATACAAATCTTTAATAGGTAGTAAAACCAAACAGAATAAACAAGTAGACTTAAAACCGATCACTTTGTACTCACTCTCTCCCTGACCACTGTCTCCCCCTGCAGGTGAAGGTGCTGAAGTGCATTGCCCCCATTACCATGTCAGATGTGGTGTTGGGACAGTACCTTGGTGACCCAGAGGGAGAGGGGGACGCCAAGCTGGGTTACCTTGACGACCCCACTGTACCCAAAGGCTCCACCCAGGCCACCTTCACCACAGCTGTGCTCTACGTGCACAACGAGCGCTGGGATGGTGAGAATAATACATTTACATTTACGTCATTTAGCAGACGCTCTTATCCAGAGCGACTTACAAATAATAATATGCCATTTAGCAGACACTTTTATCCAAAGCGACTTACAGTCATGTCTGCATACATTTTTACGTATGGGTGGTCCCGGGGATTGAACCCACTACCCTGGCGTTACAAGCGCCATGCTCTACCAATTGAGAACCTCGGCTTTCTTTCTATCACAGACTTGCTTGTTGTGCTTTCACTGTCTGGTCAAACCAGCTCACTCCTCAGAAATAACTGTAATAACTCTGTTCTTCCAAAGGTGTTCCCTTCATCCTGCGCTGTGGCAAAGCCCTGAACGAGAGGAAAGCGGAGGTGCGGTTGCAATTCACGGATGTTCCGGGGGACATCTTTGGAGCGCAGTGTCGTAGGAATGAGCTGGTGGTGCGTGTGCAGCCCAACGAGGCCGTCTACGCCAAGATGATGAGCAAGAAACCAGGAGTGTACTTCCACCCCGAGGAGACTGAGCTGGACCTCACATACAAGAGCAGATATAAGGTGAGATACTGAATGAACACACACACACACAATCATTCATAGAAAACAGACACCCACACACACTACCTCGCCACGCTCACATTTTAGTAACCCATATACTGGCACAATGTTCAACCATATTGACATAATTTTCACTGTTATCTTTTCTCTCCTCAGGATGTGAAGTTGCCCGACGCCTACGAGCGTCTCATCCTGGACGTCTTCTGTGGCAGCCAGATGCACTTTGTCAGAAGGTCAGTCAGGCTGTCTTGGCTGTCTGTCTCGCTCAGAAGTCCCCTCTGTTGCCATGGTGTTTGTGTTATGCAAATAAGACCATGAACCTGCATTATAATTATGTCCACAAGATGGTGCCATAGGGTTTCTTTCCCCCATTGGCTGCATTGCAGTGTGGTGCTCTCTTTACATTATGTCTTCTCTTTTCACTCAGTGATGAGCTGAGGGAAGCCTGGAGGATCTTTACGCCTCTCCTTCATCAGATCGAGAGCGAGAAGCCTCCCCCCACCCCCTACATATATGGAAGGTAAGATTTACCATTAACAGTTGAACAAGCATTTCGCTACACTCGCAATAACATCTGCTAACCATGTGTATGTGACCAATACATTTGATTTGAAGTATCGCAAGTCAATAGTCCCATTCATTTGTCAGTGATATTTTTGGTGTTATTTTGTGATTGATTTGTTCCTTTCCTTCTTCCTAGCCGGGGTCCAACAGAAGCAGACGAGCTTTCAAAGAGGGTCGGTTTCCAATATGAAGGAACATACAAATGGGTCAACCCCCACAGACTGTGAGAGGGGGAGGGGCCAGAGCGCCGTAAATGAGCAGCATCGTGTTCCAATACTTTTGTCTTCTTTGGGTCTGTGGAGTTTCTGCTGTATTGCTCTTTCCTTTCCAGACCTGTCAGGGCAACAGTCAAGTGAGAGATTAGGATGTATGTATGGAAAGGAAGCTATGTAAAAGTATTGGAACATAGACTAGGTCTCAGCTACTACATGAATGCTCTGTACGGTGACCTGGCGTCACTAGTGTCCATCAGGTCTTAACTAGTTGGGAGGGCGGGAGGGAGCACTTAACCACTGGGGAAGAAGGGAGCGAGAGAGAAAACAACACTAGCCCAATTCTGTTTCTCCCTCTTCTTCCTGAAGTGTGCACTCTTTCACTTCTCTTCATGGATTCAAAAGCTTGGTTGTGATCTGATTCTCTACCCTTCCACCGCTTGTTTCCAAAATACTCCTCATATTAGTCCATTCCATAAGGTGGAGTGTGTACAAGTGCAAATTTAGGATTGGGAGAAGGGTAGAGAATAGGACTGCTGCCATTGAATGGATGTAAGCATGGGCTAGACAATTTCCCACTGTCTTACACCTTGAGGGGGAGTGTACAAATACCACATTGGTGGTGTTTTTTTGTTTTTACTGTTAAGGTTATCCTTTTGTTTTGCTCAAGCTATTTTGGACCAAGGAAATCGTGTTGCATAGTAATAATACTTATTGTGACTGTGAAGTGGATGCAGAGGTCCAGATTTCGGACAACATTTTAGTAACGGCAAGGTCTGTCACAGGGTCAACATGATGCAGTCTTTATAATGATATACTGTGTTATAGACTGAACATTCACATGTTATTTCCACAACTTGCAATAAACCAGTCTTATTTCTTTGTGTTCAGTCTCCATTAATACAGATATTTTGTGTTTTAAGGGGTTGGTCAATAGAAGTATCTTGCATTCTTGTGACACTTGATCATGTGTAGCCTATTAAACAAAAAAAAAAGGTTTTGCCGTTTTTACATTTTTTATATGCGCAATAAAAAATTGCTTTCCATTGCTTTGTATTACAATTTTGACGGTTTGTCTCATGTAAAGAACAAATATATTAATGGCTTTGTTGATTTGGTGCCACAGCATTTTCATGTGAAGTGCCTAGCCTAATTGGCTTGGTTGACTGTCGCAGATAACTTTCCCCATGATCACTGCTCAAGTCTCATTTTAAAGCAATTAACTTATTCCTTAAGTTAGCCTGTTACTGCTGGGTTGGAACAAAAAACCTGCACAGCCAGTAGCTCTTCAGTACTGAAGCTGTTTTATTCACAGTGCCTCTCACTTTGCTGTCAAACTCTTTATAGGTTTCATGTTACTTCTCTGTTCCCTGGCTCTGATGTGCTTGTCCATGCAAATCGCAACAATTGATTCTGACCACGTGAGCTACAGTGCTGAGATTCCAGTTGACAACTTGCCATCACCGGAATAAAACTCCCCTCAAGAAGCTTATGTGAACAAGTAGCCAAATGAAAAGGGCAGCCACGACACAAATCAATTATTTATTTCAAAGGCAAATCTTTCTTTTGACATACACTTTTTTCAAACATACTGTGCAAGCCATATGTCAGTGAAATTCAAAGGCAGCGTCATGGTGACTAATGGCTTCATGGAAGGACAATAAGGGGAAAAACTATTTGGTTTCACAAAGCACATAAACAGCCAAGACTTTTTAGGAATGTGGCATAGAAAGGCACTTTAAATTGTTTTAACAGGTGCTAAGCAAATCTAGCCTAACTATACATATAGTATAAGTCAAGACATCTCAAAGGATGCAGAGAGATTCAGAATTAGAAAAAAGGAGAAGGACAATTAATCAAACGGCCACCTGGACTATTTACATTGACTCCCCCCCCCATTTGTTTTTACACTGCTGCTACCCGCTGTCTTATCTATGTATAGTCACTTTACCCCTACCTACATGTACAAATTACCTCGACTAACCTGTACCCCCGCACATTGACTCGGTACCAGTACCGAGTCAATGTGTTATTTTATTGTTATTTTATTGTGTTACTTTTGATAATTTCTTTACTTTAGTTTATTTGGTAAATACACTCTTTCTTGAACTGCATTGTTGGTTAAGGGCTTGTAAGTAAGCATTTCACGGTAAGGTCTACCCCTGTTGTATTCGGCGCATGTGACAAATAAAGTTTGATTTGAAGGACACAAATAGCCTAGCATCTGCTACAACGCCCTACCACAATTAACATGAATAAGCCAAACAATAAGAAAGTGAGGTCACAATGGACAGACCAAGATAACAGCTGAGGATGGACAGTGGCGTCTGATTGGGTGACAACAAAAACATGCTGGGTCACACTCCTGTTGAAAACCAGGAGGAGAAAAGCACTTGTACTATAGCGGTACATACAAAAACCACACCACTTAGACAGTACAGAGTAGATAGCTGCAGCACACACCACAAGTCCAATGCAAGCTAACTTTACTTCACATCGTCCGATGGAGTCTGCTTGCTGCATCGGAGCTGTGGAGTGTGCAAGTGTACGTATTTTCCTATCCGGTACAAAGTGGAAGTGGTGTTGATCCTTCTCCTGGCACTTGGTCAGTCTGTTAGCCTACATATGCTCTGGGTGGTTCTGCAAACGTTTGATGAACTCTGTGATCGGATGGCCCTGGTAGCAGATCTGGTACACAGCGTTGAATAGTGGGAACCTGGGACGGGAGGGAGGGAGGGAGGGATTGTTGAGTTGTCACAGTCTTTGTCCTTTGAGAATAACTGCATTGTTTTGACCATTTCATATTTATCCTTTTATCTGCATTTAACTGAGGTGACAGAGCAAGAGGTTTTTGGTAAGTGAATCATCACATTTAATGTATAATCAGTTTCTTCAATGGGTGAAAGAGTGGTTTGATTTCTGTGCCTACTTGTCAAGCAGATTTTTGTTCTTTAGGATAACATGGACTTCAGCTGCTGTTGCTGGTCCCTGGAGCTTCTGTCCATTCAGCATCTCTTTCTCCAGCTCTTCAATTGACTGAGCAGAATACAGACATGGCAGTTAAGTCAAGACTACTATTGTAGTATTACACCACTCTCCAAAACAACATTGAAATGAAACTCACTCTCTTTACTTTACTAACTTTATCTGTGGCCCCCTTTATTTTCAAACCTAATAATTACAGCGTTCATCTACTGTATTTTTCCCCCTTCCAATCCTAAATGCTATAATTCAAACCTTCATTTTTATATCGACCCTAAAAGCCAATTAGTAACGTCCCCTCTCACCTTCCCCCCTTTAGCAAAGGCTTCGGCCACTTTGCGGTTGCGGCCGCCGTAGCAGGTCGTGATGAGGTCGGCAACGCCACAGCTCTCCAGGAAGGTGGCAGAGGAGACGGGCCCGGCAGTGCAGAAGATTCGTGCGAAGGCGATCATCTCCATCAGGCCCAGCCGGATCACCGCCGCCTTCGTGTTGTCCCCGAAGCCCAGGCCGTCACAGAAGCCCGCCCCCACCGCCACAATGTTCTGACAGCCGCAGAGGTTAATGGCTTCAACACATTAGGGCAGTAATTTCTTACAAGCACACTTTCTCTCGTCTAGCCCTCTTCTCACTACCCTTTTATGTTTTCAGTAAGAAGTAGATTAATTGAGATTCAGACATCGAGACAACATGACTAGACATGAAGTAAGACGAGGCCAAGCAGAATCTCTTAACGGTTGAGTGCTCACCTTCAGTGCTCCACAGATTTCAACCACATCGGACTCCTCCACTACCGTGACCCGGAAGTTACTGGTCTGCATGAGTTCCTTCAGCAAAGCCCCATGTTTTGTATTCTTACATCCTGGGGAGAGAGGGAGAATGAGAAATGACCCTTTTCGATCCTAACATCCGTATCTTTCACAACCACCCCGTTCAAATACTTCACCACTCTTGTATTGTCATGCTTAGTGCTGGAGTTTTTCCAGACCACGTGGCTTAACCCAGAAAACTCAAGGTCCACTCAGGGCCCAGACTTATAGGCTAGGGCACAGTGTTTTCATGGGCAGGTCACACAGTAAGGAACAACTTGGCCCTAGACATGCTCAATGTCATGTTTCAAATACACAGTACAGAAATGACATACCAGAGTTCACTAGTGCTGCATACAATTACAAGTGTACAGAACTACCGTAAAATAAGCCAGCTCACTCTCTGTAATGTAAACAGCCAGACTTTTACCCCCATGCTGACATGGCAGTCTTGAGCAGAGACATTGTTTTATTGCAGGTTGATTAAATCTGGCAAAGGCTGTCCTTACAAAAACAAGTTTTGCCTATTTACTTTTTTCTACTCCAGTTCAGTCTCTAACAACTAAACGTCTAACATCTATGGTGAACACCTTTACTAATGTCTACACACACACTGACAAAATGGACCAACTCTCAAAACAGTTTATATTAATGCCTTACTTTTCAGTTTGCACTGTGCTGTATAATCTACCCAAACTATTAAGAGGCATTTTCAGGAAGGGAAAAAGACAAGGGACAGCACGCCATTCAAACGTACAGTGGGGAGAACAAGTATTTGATACACTGCCGATTTTGCAGGTTTTCCTACTTACAAAGCATGTAGAGGTCTGTAATTGTTTATCATAGGTACACTTCAACTGTGAGAGACGGAATCTAAAACAAAAATCCAGAAAATCACATTGTATGATTTTTAAGTAATTAATTTGCATTTTATTGCATGACATAAGTATTTGATCACCTACCAACCAGTAAGAATTCCGGCTCTCACAGACAGTTTTTCTTTAAGAAGCCCTCCTGTTCTCCACTCATTACCTGTATTAACTGCACCTGTTTGAACTCGTTACCTGTATAAAAGACACCTGTCCACACACTCAATCAAACAGACTCCAACCTCTCCACAATGGCCAAGACCAGAGAGCTGTGTAAGGACATCAGGGATAAAATTGTAGACCTGCACAAGGCTGGGATGGGCTACAGGACAATAGGCAAGCAGCTTGGTGAGAAGGCAACAACTGTTGGCGCAATTATTAGAAAATGGAAGAAGTTCAAGATGACGGTCAATCACCCTCGGTCTGGGGCTCCATGCAAGATCTCACCTCGTGGGGCATCAATGATCATGAGGAAGGTGAGGGATCAGCCCAGAACTACACGGCAGGACCTGGTCAATGACCTGAAGAGAGCTGGGACCACAGTCTCAAAGAAAACCATTAGCAACACACTACGCCGTCATGGATTAAAATCCTGCAGCGCACACAAGGTCCCCCTGCTCAAGCCAGCGCATGTCCAGGCCCGTCTGAAGTTTGTCATAGACCATCTGGATGATCCAGAGGAGGAATGGGAGAAGGTCATGTGGTCTGATGAGACAAAAATATAGCTTTTTGGTCTAAACTCCACTCGCCGTGTTTGGAGGAAGAAGAAGGATGAGTACAACCCCAAGAACATCATCCCAACCGTGAAGCATGGAGGTGGAAACATCATTCTTTGGGGATGCTTTTCTTCAAAGGGGACAGGACGACTGCACCGTATTGAGGGGAGGATGGATGGGGCCATGTATCGCGAGATCTTGGCCAACAACCTCCTTCCCTCAGTAAGAGCATTGAAGATGGGTCGTGGCTGGGTCTTCCAGCATGACAACGACCCGAAACACACAGCCAGGGCAACTAAGGATTGGCTCCGTAAGAAACATCTCAAGGTCCTGGAGTGGCCTAGCCAGTCTCCAGACCTGAACCCAATAGAAAATCTTTGGAGGGAGCTGAAAGTCCGTATTACCCAGCGACAGCCCCGAAACCTGAAGGATCTGGAGAAGGTCTGTATGGAGGAGTGGGCCAAAATCCCTGCTGCAGTGTGTGCAAACCTGGTCAAGACCTACAGGAAACGTATGATCTCTGTAATTGCAAACAAAGGTTTCTGTACCAAATATTAAGTTCTGCTTTTCTGATGTATCAAATACTTATGTCCTGCAATAAAATGCAAATTAATTACTTAAAAATCATACAATGTGATTTTCTGGATTTTTGTTTTAGATTCCGTCTCTCACAGTTGAAGTGTACCTATGATAAAAATTACAGACCTCTACATGCTTTGTAAGTAGGAAAACCTGCAAAATCGGCAGTGTATCAAATACTTGTTCTCCCCACTGTATGTAATGATAACCCAGCCCACAAAGTTCATTTTCACAAGGTTAATTTTCTCTCCTAAGTAAATGTTCCCCTTAACCCCATGAGTCTAACCGATAGTGGTCTCACAGAACTTCTCATCGGCGACTTCGTTGGCGATGTTGGCCCCCATCAACACACTCATGGTGATGCCCAGCTTCTCCTGGATCACATCAGAGATGAGCTTCAGCCCATCTGGACCCTCATCCACACCCTGGAGTAGAACACACAGCACATGAGTACTCAGTATACGGTACGCACAATAAAGCAATTCAAGAGAGGTACTGTATATTACAGTGGAGCATTTAACTACATAATAACTTCACATTAACACAATCAGAATCTGGCAACACTACTTATTTATTATTGCTAATACTGCACAATTTAAACACTTGCCCCCCAATCCTCCCTTCCTTGATACATTGTGCTATAAATTGTGCCTTCCTGTATTATACTTATGCTAAAATGTCTATTCTATTCTACTGAGCCATTTACTTGATGTATTCTTATATTTTCTTATTTGTTATTGTTGTTGCATTGTTGAGAAGGATCCTGCAAGTAAGCATTTCGTTGGACAGTGTATACCATGTGTATACAGTACATACGACAAATAAAACTTGAAACTACTGCTTTAAAACCTTTAGGGGTGGTTTCCTGGACATAGATTAACCCTGCGTTCATAACCAACTGAGAAGGTGGTATTTACCATATACGACTGGAAACACCCCTCCAACTGGTAATTACAAGTGGGAAACTCGTCTATCATCCCTGAACTCCGACTTCTCCTACATGCTGACCTCTGACGTCACCTACTATGGGAATTATACGATAACAGCATTTCTGTCAATTAAATGCAACAACAAAACATGATTTATAAAAAGCAATATATTAATATGTTTTTTGAACACTATAATTTGTTTACAAGCATGATGGTCGGCTAAAATGGCGCAGACAGAAAGGGCTGCGTCGCTTCTAGTCCTTAGGAAACTTTGCAGTATTTTGTTAGCCCAGAAAAAGTGTTATTCCATACAGCCGGGAAGAACTATTCCATTCCTTTTGTGTGTATTAGATATTTGTTGTGGAACTGTTAGATATTACTTGCTAGATATTGCCGCACTGTCAGAACTAGAAGCACTAGCATTTCACTACACTCGCAATAACCAATACATTTGATTTGATAGCTGTACTTTTAGTTCATGGTTGACGCAGCTTGTTGGCCATTAGCCAATGGGCGTTTCTCAACGAGTTCAAAGCACGTGAATGCATCTAACTAGTATTTACGACTTCATAACTGGTTATTTCAACTTTCCTACTTGGTTATGAATGCAGCATAAGCCTAACCCTGGCCTAAAAGGTATTTTCAATGAGATTCTCCATTTAGGTTGCTTTTTAGTCCAGGATTAGTTTTACTGTAATCTGTGTACTGTAAACCACCCCTTAATTTGTAATGCAAGAGGCTGAAGGAGTCAATGATTGACAGAGCATGATAATGAGGGTCAGATAGTTTCTTTCAAGGATCAAGATAAGGACAGAGTAGGACACGTTTTCTCAATGATTGAGTGACCAGTGTGTAAGAAAATTAACAAGCACCGATTTCATAAGTTCTCAAGTGCTAGTTTTAATTAGAATAGTCCCCAAAGGAGCACCAAACCCAGCCAATCCAGTCCCTTATGTAAAAAAGGTTGAGAAACACACACAGCCCATTCACAGTGAGGAGAGCATGGGTATTAGGATGGATATACATTTGTAAAATATGTGTAGTGAAATCTATCTCTCTTCAACATCAGACTTGGATGTAGCATGACCAAAGGCACATTCCTGCTTCACCTGTAGGTGCAGCTATTAGCATACCGTAAATACCATAGTATATAGACAAACAAAATAAGGATAGCAATTTAAATTATACAGGAGCTTCCCATCTAAACCATTTTGCACATAGTGTGGCACGATTGATTAATGCAATGATTCACAAATGTGTGGATATTTTAAAAGCCTTTCATTTTCTATTTGGCTAACAGAGCAAAAATGCTGTCTACTGGTTTTAAGGTAATTCTTGCAGGAACATGTGGTGTGGGAGAGCCTTTGTCTTTACACTGTACCACTCAGAGGGGGGATGTTGTGTAGATGTCTCCCACACTACCTCCAGATGGTAGTATGGGAGACATCCCTTAAAGAGAGATTTGAATCTAGATCTGTCTCTTTACACTACACAAGTATCTCTCCTGGACCTAGTTTGCGTTATCAAAGTGTAGTAGTGTAGTGTAATGAGGCCCTTAGCCAAACCTTGATGAGTGACATTCCTAGTGCATCGCTCTTTATCTTCCCCTTCATGGTGTCACACACTCTGCCGATGAACTGGTGGGGTATCACAAACACTAGGATGTCTGCTTCCTTGGCAGCGTCCACCAGCTCAGGAACAGCCAACTGGGGGAGAGAAAGGAGAGGGGACAGTCAGGGCACTGGCCTTAGCCTGTTTGTCTAATATACAATGCCTTGCAAAAGTTTTCAACCCCCTTGGCGTTTTTCCTATTTTGTTGCATTAAAACCTGTAATTTAAATGGATTTGTATTTATATTTCATGTAATGGACATACACAAAATAGTCAAAATTGGTGAAGTGGAATGAAAAAAATAAAAAAATATTTTTGGGAAAAAGTGGTGCGTGCATATGTATTCCTTCCCTTTGCAATGAAGCCCCTAAATAAGATCTGGTGCAACCAATTACCTTCAGAAGTCACATAATTAGTTAAATAAAGTCCACCTGTGTGCAATCTAAGTGTCACATGATCTGTCACATGATCTCAGTATATGTACACCTGTTCTGAAAGGCCCCAGAGTCTGCAACACCACTAAGCAAGGGGCACCACCAAGCAAGCGGCACCATGAAGACCAAGGAGCTCTCCAAACAGGTCAGGGACAAAGTTGTGGAGAAGTACAGATCAGGGTTGGGTTATCAAAAAATATCCGAAACTTTGAACATCCCACGGAGCACCATTAAATCCATTATTAAAAAATGGAAAGAATCTGGCACCACAACAAACCTGCCAAGAGAGGGCCGCCCACCAAAACTCACGGACCAGGCAAGGAGGGCATTAATCAGAGAGGCAACAAAGAGACCAAAGATGACCCTGAAGGAGCTGCAAAGCTCCAAAGCGGAGATTGGAGTATCTGTCCATTGGACCATTTTAAGCCGTACACTCCACAGAGCTGGGCTTTACGGAAGAGTGGCCAGAAAAAAGCCATTGCTTAAAGAAAAAATAAGCAAACACGTTTGGTGTTCGCCAAAAGCCATGTGGGAAACTCCCCAAACATATGGAAGAAGGTACTCTGGTCAGATGAGACTAAAATTTAGTTTTTTGGACATCAAGGAAAATGTCTGGCGCAAACCCAACAACTCTCATCACCCAGAGAACACCATCCATGCTGTGTGGATGTTTTTCATCGGCAGGGACTGGGAAACTGGTCAGAATTGAAGGAATGATGGATGGCGCTAAATACAGGGAAATTCTTGAGGGAAACCTGTTTCAGCCTTCCAGAGATTTGAGACTGGGACGGAGGTTCACCTTCCAGCAGGACAATGACCCTAAGCATACTGCTATAGCAACACTCGAGTGGTTTAAGGGGAAACATTGAAATGTCTTGGAATGGCCTAGTCAAAGCCCAGACCTCAATCCATTTGATAATCTGTGGTATGACTTAAAGATTGCTGTACACCAGCGGAACCCATCCAACTTGAAGGAGCTGGAGCAGTTTTGCCTTGAAGAATGGGCAAAAATCCCAGTGACTAGATGTGCCAAGCTTATAGAGACATACCCCAAGAGACTTGCAGCTGTAATTGCTGCAAAAGGTGGCTCTACAAAGTATTGACTATGTAGAATAGTTATGCACGCTCAAGTTTCCTGTTTTTTTGTCTTATTTGTTGTTTGTTTCACAATAAAAAAATATTTTGCATCTTCAAAGTGGTAGGCATGTTGTGTAAATGAAATGATACAAACTCCCAAAAAATCCATTTTAATTCCAGGTTGTAAGGCAACAAAATAGGAAAAATGCCAAGGGGGGGTGAAGCCACTGTAGTCCTTGCACATTGTAAAATGAATCCGTTATCAGTTCTAAATAGCGTGTGCCACAGTGCACAAAGCTAAATCAAAGGCATCAAAATTTGGCCTCCTGCAAAAAATGATTTCATTATAAAGTTTAATTTTATAATTGTGTTCCATAATGCAGTGACTGGTTGGTCTGTGCTAAATCAGTCAAGTCAGAATGACCCATCCTACAAAAGCCAGGTGGCAGGGATTCACAATACTATAGTGGTGGGGATTGTAGTGAGAGGTACTGAGAGCTGCAAGGACAGCTGCAGTTGCAACACATAATAACTGAGCCAGGGCTGACCCTTTACACACATGGACCAGCAGCAGACATCGGGCCCTATTCCCCACAGCAGTTTATTACTCATCACATTAGGACCTCCTAGTTGTGACAGAAGAAACGGTCACACAGCATTTGGCAAGATGTGATCAGGGTAACATTGATACAGGCAAAAAGGGTATTGGTTTAGGGGTAGGTCAATTTAAATTATGTGAATAAAGGATTATAGAAAAATAAATCCCATTCCCGAGTAGGATTACAACACATAGTGGCGTTTGATGTGTTTCTCACCACATTGGGGGGTAGCTTGTGTCCAGGCAGGTACTTGACGTTCTCATGGTCGGTGTTAATGATATCTGTCAGCTTGCGACCATCCACCATCTCCTCAAACACCCACATGGTCACTGTGTTGTCAAACTTGGAGTTCTGCGCAGCATTGGAACCCACTATTTTGGCAATAGCAGAGCCCCTGTATAGTAGAGAAATTGCAATATAATCATGCCTTTAAGTTTGTCGTCCATGATTTAATTCAATACCTAGACACCTAGAATACCTATTCTATTCTATCTGCGATTTTCGGAAAGAACATCTGAACTGTGCACATGCACCCTAGATTGAACAATGCAAATGCCCAAAATACTTTTTGGAAAGAGCCCAGAGCACAAACAACTTCATCTTATTGCAAATTTGCAACTTGCAAGATTGACCATCAATTATCCTATTAAATAGGCAAATGGTAGTTGCTGCACCCTCCCTGTCCGTTTTATGGTTGAAGGCTTGATCATCACTTGGATTGTTGACCAGCTAAAGTTAGTTTGTTTGCTGGCCTTGCATTCAGTGGCCAATTCTGGTTAAACGTTACATAATGCAACAATGTAAGATGAATCTCATTACTCAAATAAATACATGTGGTGCTATCATTACAATCCAAGAGCAGCTTTACTGCAAGGCAAGGGTCAGCATCATGTAGCTACTGCTCGAGTGACTTGTTTCCATGGGAAATGCTGCTAGAATGATCTAACTAGGCATGCTAGCTAGCTGCAGCACGCCCAGGCCTGGTCCTGGCCGTTCTGCCGCCTAGGTGAGACAAAAAAATTGCCGCCCTTCTCCTATTCCCGCAAAACTAGAATAGGGCCTAGCAACCCACTGGGCGTCAGTTCAACGTCTAGTTTTTATTTACATTTGATTGAGTTGTCAACTAATGTGAATTCAACGTGAAATCAACTAAAAATTCACCCTGTCATTGGATTTAGGTTAAAAGTTGGGTGAAAAAAATATGAAATTCCTTTACGTTGATGACTGTTTGCAAATCCAATAATTTTTCCACGATGATTCAACGTCATCACTGAATTTTGGGGTTGAAATTATGTGGAAACAATGTTGATTCAACCAGTTCTTGCCCAGTGGGGTAGCCCAGAACCATATATTTAGATGGCTCTGGTGTAGCCTACAGTGTCGGCCTGCAATGCAATTTAATGAATGCCGATCCGTGTTGTACCGTTTGTAAAACAGGCAGTTGCATTGGCTTTATTAGCCTAGTCCGGATTCCTGACCTAAGCTTAAGACATCATTTTGGCTATTTAAGATATGCATATCAGCTACCCATCAGGAGTTAGTTGGAGCCTATTTGCAAAGAGAATCAATGTGTTTACAAAGCGGGAAATGCAGAAGTATTCTCTTTTTCGCTATGATCAGCTCGTCTTTAGTGCAGCTAGATTCCGTTAATAGAACAGGAAGTTACCAAACCACAGAACAAGATGAAAATATGTGGTTTTCAGTGATGGTATAGCTAGTAAACAATTACCCATTCCTATAAGTGAGTACTATTTTAATAGTAATATTAAATAATACACATTGGCTGCTAAACACATTATATTATATGACTGTTGCCTTCTGTTTTTGTTTCTTTTTGAGGATAAGTATTAGGTGGTCGCTAGCTACAGTATATTCAACCTAGCCTAGCTTTTAGCTTGTTAACTAGCTAGCTGCTCTGTAAGCTAGCTCGACTTGCTAGGAAGTTAGAGAAACAAGTTGAGGAAAAAGTTGTATTATCACCTGAAACAATCTGCAATCTCCCAAAATAAATATGATCTCTGACAATAGACTAGGCTCTCCTCCAGGTCTGTTAGTGTATGACATAACGAGGAAAAATGACCATGCACTACCAAATTAATTGCACCGTGTGCAGCCATTCTACTAGTACAACTCTCAACAGAAGTAAGTTGAAAGCGGCCCGTATTGATCCCATTCTGGGTCCAGATCCGGACCGCAGTCTGCCAGTTGAGAATGGCTGCCCTATGCTCTCCGTCCAGTAACGGAACAAGATTACATGAAGATGACGTACGGCGTAATGAAATATGTCACGATGTAAACGAGGTAAATCAGACCGACAGCATCATTGCATATTGGTACACTGGAAGTACATTCATTTCCAATATAACGCTGCGTTTGCCTTGCAGCATTGCGTTTCAGAGGCAGTTGCAGTGCATAACTGTGATCTGTGTGGTGCATACGTTGGATATATCAAACGTATGCATCAAATTGTATGCGTAGACTTGGCAGAAATAGTAGCATAAGGTGAATGTTGAACTTTGGTTGCACACATATCCAGTAAAAATGTCGGGTTACATAATGAAAAAAGTTTGACCGCTGTCTTTTTTTGGTGCGGTCCAGACCGGCCTTGATTATAACGTCCAAGGACGTTGATTTTTGGTCCGGTCCAGATCGGACCAAATCTGAACCAATCATAGACGTCTATGTTTGGTTCAGATTTGGTCTGGTCTGGCCCTGATTTGGCCCAAACATAGACTTCTATGCTTGGTTCAGATTTGGTCCGGTCTGGACTGACCCAAATGTGTACTTGTTTGGGGGCGGAGCTTATTATAATAATACCCAGCATGCTTTGCAAGTGTTTGTTTTTACATTTACATTTTGGTCATTCAGCAGACGCTTTTATCTTATAAGGTAGATAAGCAACAACATATCACAGTCATATCAAGAAAACAATATTTCTGTAACCGTTACTGAGAATATTTTTGTAGTTGAAGTGGTCTGTTGGTTTATTCTGTAGACTGGAGACTTTGAACATCATCACTGCCACTTTTAAAGCTTTTTGGGCGCAATAGTAAGTATTCTATGTTGCAATCTTCAGTTGGCTCCTGTTTCCTATAATAAATAATAATAAATAATTATTTTGATATAGCTTAATGCTTACTTAATTGAGAATGTATGTGCAGTTGAAATTTGGCCAAAATTGTATTTTCAATGTCTGTAAATAACGTATTTTCAACTTTCATTCAGAACCGAAAATGAACTTGATTTCACGTCCAGAAAATACGTATTTTCAACATCCGGAAAGTACATATTTTCAATGTCCCGAAAAACTTATTTTCAACTATCATTCAGAACTGAAAATTAACTGGATTTCCACGTCAGGAAAAAAACGTATTTTCAACGTCCGGAAAATACATATTTTAAACGTCCGGAAAATACGTTATTTTCACCTTTGATTCAGAACCTAAAATGGACCTAACTTCATCGTCTGGAAAATACTTTTACATGCTGACCAGACCGCCCGCACGCGTGCGTCCACGTTAGCCATCGCGCGCATGTTGATTTTGTCCACCCACACCAGACGCGCTCAGGACACGCAGGTTGAAATATCAAAACGAACTCTGAACCAACTATTAAATTTGGAGAGAGGTCGAAAAGCATTAAACATTTGTATATTTAGCTAGCTAGCTTGCTGTTACTAGCTCATTTGTCCTGGGATATAAACATTGGGTTGTTATTTTCCCTGAAATGCACATGGTCCTCTACTCTGACAATTAATCCACAGATAAAAGTGTAAACATAGTTTGTTTCTAGTAATGGCTTCTTCTTCTTCTTTGGAGTTTATATGGCGGTAGCAACCAACTTTAAGGTGCATTACCACCACCAACTGGACTGGAGTTTGGACCTCAGTTCCCCTTTCAATCACCCATGTGGGTATATGTTCCTAAAAACCAATGAGGAGATGGGAGAGGCAGGACATGCAGCGTGTCAAGCATCACAAATAGAACCAAGTTCTACTTTTAGCGCCTGGCCACGCAGACGCTTGTTGACGCGCGCGAGCAACGTAGGTGCAATGATTGAATAACATGTATGTGTACATTTGTTTTGCGACGCGTGCGGTGTGGTCAGCATGTTAGACGTCTTTTCAACGTAATTTTTGCTTACTGGGATCATTTCATTCCATATTGTCCATTTTATTCTGACCTGTGCTGTTTTTAGGATATGATGTTTGTTGTTAACATATTCAAATCCAAGCGCATTTGTATTTGCTGTTTTTAGGATATGGTGTTTGTTGTTAACATATTCAAATCCAAGCGCATTTTTCTTTGATAGCCATACATTTGGCCTATTTGATCGGAGAAACAGTACGTGCATGATGTGTGCATGATGTAGGCCTATAACAAAGTGTCTGTCTCATAACATTGTCATAAATATGGTCTCCAGTCTGTAAGCAAAACCACATGAGCTACTACGCTTTCTGCTATGATTATAGGCTATGCTGCGTCTCTCTAGCAACAGCACCCTGTACACCCACACACAAACACAAAGCCTTCGATATAGATATGTTTTCTTACCAATTGCCAGAGCCAATAATGCAGACTTTCTTGGGAGTTGCCATTGAAAAGACCCTTGCCGACTGACAAAAATGGCACACTGTTACAAACCGGGCTACAGTGAACTGGACATTCACAGGGGCACTTTGTATGTAAAGGCAGTGCACAGCGGGGTTGGTAGATCTAGCTCTTATTTCATTGGTTAGTCTGAGGGGAGACAGTCCCGCCCACTGTTTTCATCCAAGTCCTATAAAACATTTGGCGTCTGAATAACTAGGCCAAAAGTTCCATGTGGGCAAATTGTAATTGATGACAATCTCGAAATTAAAAGTCATACTTTATGCTTTTAAAAAGAAAAACAGGTGCAAACATCACCATCTGGGGAAAAAAAAAAAACCTGTGAGAGAGACATAGGCTCTTCATTATTCTCAATGACAAACTATCAAATCAAAACTGAGCCTTGCAACCTTGGATGACTGGATATATGGACCTTGGATAAAATTCAGCCTTTGTTACGCAGATTAGTTTAGCAGGGCTTGCACACACAACATTCCACGGATCTAAATTCAAATGAATCTCTTCTGCTGTCCTCAGATGGCTGTGGGTGTTGTTCATTGTCTCAATGTGAATTTCACAGACCATAATCTCATATCCAACACTAACTGGCAGAAGGAGGGAGTCTTATGTGAGACACTATTGAAGTGTTGAAACAATAGGGGACCTTGTTGGGGAAAGAGACTGGTCACAAGGGAACACAGACATTCCAGTGAAATAATAGATTCAGCTGTTTAGATTTTACAATTTGGTAAAATAGAGGACATTTTCAGTTGTTGTTTACATAGAAAAGTGCCTGTTCAAACAAGGTTAACATAGACTCTGGTTATTAACGCCCTTAACCCCATGTTGTAAACAAATATTTTGGTATTGTATGCATGTGTTTCTTCTGTTTCTCTGTAGTACAGGAAAGGTATAGCTGGCATAGATATGAAAGAGTAAGAAGTTTAGACCATCTTAAAAAATAAAATAAAGTCTGTCTTCAGATCTTGCCAAAAATGAAGCCAGATTCCACTGAATTGAAATTTCATTATACTTTATTGTTGCTTTTAAATAAATAAAACATCTGAAAACATGTAAACTGGTAGGCATAGTTTTTATAGAAAAACAAAAGTAAGAACACATACACATGGCTACATTAATTACATCAACAACAATAGGCAAGACTATGCAACCATGATCAGAACATTATCCATAGTCCTTCCTTGCAGTATTCTATTTACATGTTCATGGTACTGTTGTGCTTGAGAATAACAATACACAGTTATACACTATCATACAACTCCCCTTTTCCTATGATAAATACATCTAGCATGGCTAACTGAGGCATGAGTGATAAGAGATAGTTTCATCATATGTACAGTAGGTGTTCCTAACTACCTCCAATGGTTCCTACCAAAATATATTGTAGTAACAGTTGTCCAATTGTTTAACTTTGGGGAGTCCGGCAGTATTTCCATTGTCAAAAAGGTGGTTTGACATCTCTCATCATCTAGTTCTATCTCATCTACTCATTTGGCTGTAAAACTTTCAAACTTCTTACTAAGAAAATAAAAATGTTGACTTCTCTGTTTTATTTCTTAGAAAATGGTGAACAATCTTTTCAATTGAATAATTACTTGTTTTTCACTCTATAATACAATATGAAAAATGCAACTTCATTATATTATGTCAAATTGACCAATTGGACAGAAGCAGTAAATTAGAAAACGGGCCAATTTCGTGACTGCAATTCATTAACTTGAGAAAGTGTATTACTCTTGAAGTATCACACACACACACTCAAAAAGGGCATGCACACAAACACAACCATACAAACAAACAGACCAAAATTGTAGCACGGACAAACATGCCAATATACTGCGAGGACATTTCCCATCATCACACACCCAAAGCCAAAATATCTTAGTCCTGCTTGCTATATCTAAATGTAGCCCAAGTAAAATTACATTCTTAGAAGACAATACAATAACTATTTTATTTTGTACGTGGGTTAACATTGCCACTTTCATGACATTGCAGTCATTATGATCCAGCAGGCTATACGTGGCTAGCACTACTCTTGCACCAGTGGGGACTTCAGTGCTATTGAAGTGTTACGTATTACCGATCATCAAGCTTTATAATCTGTCCACTTTTGAATCAAATTTAAATGCTCCATTTCCTTACTTCCTTGTGTTCTGATTGGCTCAGCAGGTGACGTCCTCTGAGTTGCTCTGCCCTGTGTGATGAGGTAGAATATTGGCAGAGTATGGAGGTGGTGCATGACTATTGTCATGGAGAGACTGTGGTGGATAATGTGAAATGGATAGTTAGTGACAAAAAAAGTGGGAGTATAACACAAGAAAAAGAGAAGTTAAACTCAAACTCATGAAAGACAACCAGTGAGATAGCAGAGATTGAACAGACAACATACAGTCATGCATATAAAAGTGTATCCTTCTGCAGATATGCTTCATAAATAAAATGCACAACATATTAGAAAGTTCCCTTTTAAATCCAAGTGCCACATTACCCACTGGCAGCGGTGTAAAGTACTCAAGCACTTTTTACTCCATACATTTTCCCTGACACCCAAACGGGACAGGAAAATAGTCCAATTCACACACTTATCTAGAGAACATCACTGGTCGTCATACTGCCTCTTATCTGGCGGATTCACTAAACACAAATGCATCGTTTGTAAATTATGTCTGAGTGTAGGAGTGTGTCCCTGGCTATCCGTAAATTTAAAAAACACGAAAATTGTGCCGTCTGGTTTGCTTAATATAAGGAATTTGAAATGATTTATACTTTTACTTTTGAAACTGAAGTATATTTTAGCAATTACATTTACTTTCGATACTTAAGTATATTTAAAACCAAATACTTTTAGACTTTTACTCAAGTAGGACTCACTTTTACTTGAGTCATTTTCTATTAAGGTATCTTTACTTTTACTCAAGTATGACAATTGGGTACTTTTTCCACCACCGCCCACTGGGCACACCACGTAATTTCAATGAGGATTATCAGGTAATATTTGGTTGAGATGTTGATCAATGAGATTACAACCTATATTCACCCACTCAAAAAGTTTGTTGAATTTCCAATGTATTATCACTATGCTTTCAACCATCTAAAAGCACAACCAAATTCCAATGGAAAAACAATGTCTGAATTTTGGTTTAGTTGTCACCCAAATGCCTATCACTGCGCTTTCAACCATTTAATAGCAAAGTTCAAATGGGAATACAATGTCAGATATTTTGATTATTTATACAATGGATTAATGTGTTATCACTGTGCTTCATCTAATAGCAGAACCAAATTACCTGGATTGCTGTTGAGATTACATTAAACGTGCATGGTGCAAGTGATCAACGCTGTTCAAGATTCTGTGCAGATTATTACAGCAATTATAAAGATCTCCACAGATAAGTGTGGATCTATGTATGCTATCTTGAACATGCACACTTTATATGACCACATAAGAAGACATTTATAGGTACAGTAACCTTAAAATGTGGCCATGGATGTGTCACTCATTTTAAGGTTGAATGTTACATTTGTAAGATAGCCTTAACTTTAGGCTATTTACTGTATTACAAAAGTTATATTGAATTGACAACGCAACCCAATATCAACATTTAAAGGAGATGTATTTACTGCTTGGATAGTTCCACCTGAGCCACTGGCTTTATCCCATTCTTTAACTTTTATTTTTGGTTGAGTTGGAGACGTGAATCTAACATAGCATTTGTTGACTTGTTGACACGTTAATAGGCTATTTATTGTATTTCAAATGTGATATTGAATTTTGTTTGGTTGTCAACGCAACCAAATACTGTATCAATATTTGAAGGAGATTTATCTTCTCCTTGGATAGTTCCTCTGTGCCACTAACTTAGTCTAGCTTTAATTTGTGTTTGTCTACAAATTCATAATTGATATGTTGGATTCACGTCTCCATCTCAAACAAAAAGTACTTTAGATTTTAGCAGACGCTCTTATCCAGAGCGACTTACAGTTAGTGAATGCATACATTTTTTTATTTTTTTCCCTACCCCCTGTGGGAATCGAACCCACAACCCTGGCGTTACAAACGCCATGCTCTATCAACTGAGCTACATCCCTGCCAGCCATTCCCTCCCCTACCCTGGACGATGCTGGGCCAATTGTGCGCCGCCCCATGGGTCTCCCGGTCGCGCCGGCTACGACAGAGCCTGGATACGAACCAGAATCTCTAGTGACACAGCTAGCACTGCGATGCAGTTCCTTAGACCACTGCGCCACTCGGGAGACATACTGAACTTTAAATATACTGAACAAAAATATAAATGCAATATGCAACAATTTCAAAGATTTTACTGAGTTACAGTTCATATAAGGAAATCAGTCAATTTAAATTAATTAATATGGCCCTATCTATGGATTTCACATGACTGGGAATACAGATATGCATCTGTTGGTAAAATATACAGTACCTATAAAAAAAAAAAAAATCGGGGCGTGGATCAGAAAACCAGTCAGTATCTGGCATGACCACCATTTGCCTCATGCAGCGCGACACATCTCCTTCACATAAAGTTGATCAGGCTGTTGATTGTGGCCTGTGGAATGTTGTCCCACACGAAGTTGCTGGATATTGGCGGGAACTGGAACACGCTGTCGTACACGTCGATCCAGAGCATCCCAAACATGCTCAATGGGTGACATGTCTGGTGAGTATGCAGGCCATGGAAGAACTGGGACATTTTCAGCTTCCTGGAATCCTGGGCTGGCATGGTTACATGTAGTCTGCGGTTGTGAGGCCGGTTGGACGTACTGCCAAATTCTCAAAAAACGTATGGTAGAGATATTGTAGAGAAATTAACATTCAATTCTCTGGCAACAGCTCTGGTGGACATTCCTGCAGTCAGCATGCCAATTGCACGCTCCCTCAAAACTTGAGACATCTGTGGCATTTTTTGCACATTTTAGAGTGGTCTTTTATTGTCCCCAGCACAAGGTGCACCTGTGTAATGATCATGCGGTTTAATCAGCTTCTTGATATGCCACAACCTGTCAGGTGGATGGATTATCTTGGCAAAGGAGAAAAACTCACTAACAGGGATGTAAATACATTTGTGCACAAAATTTGAGAGAAATAAGATGTATGTGCTTATGAAAGATTATTTCAGCTCATAAAACATGGGACCAAAACTACATGTTGTGTTTATATTTTTGTTCAGTGTAAATGCACTTTAAATCAAGTTTGATTTGATTTAGTCCTATTCATTAACTTTGATTTTTGGTTGAGATGGAGATGTGAATCCAACATATCAATTATTAATTTGTAGACAAACTGGAATAAAAGACAGACTAAGTAAGCGGCAGAGATGGAACTATCCAAGCAGAAGATATAGAACATCTCTTTCAAATGTTGATACTTGATTGCGTTGTCAACCAAACACAATTCAATATCACTAAATATCCTTCAATTTGAAATCAACCAGAGCTTGAAACCCTAGACCTATTGTATTGTCTATTTTTAGTTGCATTCTGGGTTGAATTGAAACAATAGTTGTTGATAACTGTAAATGCTTTATAGGCCTAAATAGCATCATTGATGATGAGTGATGAAGTATGGTCACATTTCATTTGCTCTGTTAAACCTACCCTTTGGAATGACTTCGATGACAACAGTGAAGTTATTTTGTTTTTAAGTGGAGATCGCTCAACAATCATTCGAACGATAGCACATTGGTAATAAACAGTGACATAGCTAAGTAGGACTTGGTTAAAACTCTGGATGGGAGACCAAAGGGTAGCTGTAGATAGATCAATTCTCTAGTAGGAGGTGCTGCCCAGCCTATAGTTTTTTTTTCTGATAGTGGATATAACGTTGAAGATCTGACGTTGTTTTAAAGGTACAAACTCAACATATTTTAAACAAGGTTTGTCTATGTTGAAATTTGGTTACCATGACAAATTACATTGAAACAACATTGATTCAACCAGTTTGTGCCCAGTGGGTAGACACCTGCTACTTTTAAGATCTTGATTTTTTCCAAAGATATAGATGAGAGAAAACTTGATGGAAATTGATGGGTTGAAGACATGTTTCTCAAGCTGATACACAACATCACAACCTCAATTGATAGCAATTGTAACTATCGTTGTTGCTTAGAAAAAATATAAGCTTGGATATTGTTTTTGCTATTTGATCTTCAATGTGGTATTCCATTCTTCTGTTGCAAAGCCATTTACATTAGCCAACGAAATCTAAGGGATGCATGTGGATGATCATTGAATTGGTTGTCTTGTATCCTGCTGTCTGCGAGGCAAAACTAGACATATCCCCCCATGCACACATTCATGAAACTCACCAGGTACAGATGTAGGATCTTAATAATGCAGGCTATTTAAAACTTGTAGTAGATTTGAGGTTTAAAAAGGCTTCTGAAGTTTGCAATTTACACAGACTTTATTTTCCTCTACAAAAAGGTCAATTAATTATAATCCACATAATAATTCACATTTCTGTTGCTGCAGGATTATTTTCCTGCTGTAGCAAACTGGCTCAAATTAAGATCCTACATATGTATGTTCATTTAGAACACATTAAATCCTTCATTGAGATGTTTAGACATGAAGCAATATGGCTGCCTCCTTCTGAGAGCTGCAAATGGTTAGTGAAAGTTACTGACATGACATTTCACATCGTCCAGGCTCAGAACAGCTCCCTGGTCGTTGTTGTTGCTGTGCTTGTGTTTCTTCTCTGAGCATCGACAGAGCTTGTACTTTATCACCTGTGACGAAACACAGATGCACACTACAAAGGTCAGTGATGCTGTCGATTTGAGACAAATGCTGGTAAGAGAACAGGTGGACATTTTGACGTATGCCTGCCTCTTCGACAGTTATTTGTAAAACGCATAAATGTTTAATTCTGCTTTTCCAAGAGCTTACAATAATGAGTGAGACAGAAAGCATAATGGAAAAGTGTCACTGTAGAATACTAGAGAATGAAAAGATTACCTCATATATGTAGTCAAACAGTTCCAGAATAGTAAGGATACTGGCTCCAATGAAAAGACCCATCTGACCACCAATATCACCTGGGAAGAACAGAGAAATACAAGATTATCAAAGAAAATAAACTTTCCCAAAAGATACACATTTCCAACAAAGTATCCTTAAAAATAAAATGTATAGTTTTTTAAACAATTGAAATACCTAAAAGTCCTGCTACTTCATAGGCTTTCTTCTGTTCGATCGTCTCATAGTTTAGAGCCTCAAAGAAGATGTCCAGAACCAGGATATTGTCACTGTTACAGAAAAATACCATATTCAACATCTAAACAGCAAACAGTTTATGTAAGCTTCTGATAGAGAAAATATTTACTTAGTTGCACTTGCTGTGTATTGGAAATGGAACTGGATGGTCAAAGATGCAAGGGCCAAAGCCCAAAGCAGATTTATTTGCCATTACATTTCTTGCTAAGTACTCCATACTCACTGTAAAGATTTTATCGGGTGTTTGGAACATTAGACTCACGCTATGTACTGCTCTGACTTGTTGTATTTCTTGGCCAGATACTTGGCAGAGGCCTTGCTGGGGATCTTGACGAAGGACAGCTCCTTGCTGTATCTGGTCATGTTGCACGGCGTCTCACACACACAGAAATCATTGTCTCTCTCCACCAGGAAGTCTGGGGGCAAAGAGCAAGACTGCAGCATTAACACTTCTTCTCTTTTTAGTCCATGTAAGTCATATAGAGACTGAAATAGAGTTGCTATGGTCTAAGAAACAGCAGTCTGGATCTATTCCTTACCAAGAGCTGGATCAGCACACTCTTTGTACAGCTCAGGGGTGCAGAATGGGGCATCTCCTGTACATAAAGAGTTGTTAATCAATTAATCTAAGTTGAACTTGAAAACTTAAAAAGTCCAGACTTGGTAAATGGCTGGGTGGGAGGGTTCACCTACCAGGCATGTGTACCATGCGGCAGTTACAGTTCTCCACCAGGTAGCGCGTCTCACAGTCGATACGGCAGGCTGTGATGCTGTACGTCTCAAAGAATTCTGAGTCCATCCATGTCACCTTACAGTCCCCCCAGGGGGGGGGCAAATATATCAGCTGGAACAGACACACATGACACCTGTTACACATACAATATAAGCTACAGTACAACTACAATTGAATAGGTGTTCAGTACTACAACAGTTACACAGGTGGTGCTTATAGTAGCATATTGTATATGTATTACTATTTTGTTTAAATAAAGTTTTACGAATAAATGTAATGTCCCTACCCGTTGTTCCTGGCAGGAGACAAAGGTCTGGAACCCAGGTGCCACCCCGAAGCCTAGCTGGTCAATGAAGGGTGGCTCCTCTTGATTGTGGATCTGAACTTTGATCCCAGCTTCGAATGATGTCTCATCTGTGGGGAAGGGAACATAGGCAGGGATCACTGCACAATCCATGCATGGCTTACTTAACTAATGAACCCACTGGCTCCAGCAGACAGATAGAGTGGTCTGTTGGATAGAGCAACACACGTGAGCTGTATTTAGTATTTATTAGGATCCCATTAGCTGTTGCCAAGGCAGGAACAAAACAACACATCATAACAAAACAATAGTCTACATCAGGGATCATCAACTAAATTCAGCCGCAGGCCAATTTTTTTCTGGAGCGGATGGTCGGGGGGCCGGAACATAATTACAAATAATTTGTAGACTGCAACTTGACCACAAGAAGCCCAAACAGATATAATGCTTGACTAAAACATAATCATTTCAAACCTTGCTTACATTTGTATACGATCACATGTCTCTCTATTATGCATGGGAATACTTGGGAACAGATTTCTTAAATTAAAATCACTTGGAGCTGATTTCCTGGTATTTTTACAGTCTTTTATGTCCAACAATGAAAATTCCCACAATAAAAAAAAAATATTTTTTTCTCTTTTGCTCAGAAAACCTGGGGGGCCAAATAAAACCACTCCCAGGCCAAATTCAAATCCAGTTGGGGAACCCTGTTCTAAATCATAAATAAAACAATACGTGTATATTGTGTGAGTATGCGTGTGTGAATGTGCATGCGTGAGTGTGTGTCTCTTCACAGTCCGCATTGTGCTGTGAGGTGTTGTTCTATCTGTGTTTTAAATCAGATTTAACTGCTAGCTTGGGTTACCTGATGTAGAAGAGAGTTCCATGTAGTCATTGCTCTATGTAGTACTGTACGTTTTCCAGCCTCTGTTGTGGCCATAGGGACTGTGAAGAGACCCCTGGAGGCATGTCTTGTGGGGTATGTATGGGTGTCTGAGCTGTGTGTTAGATGTTTGAACAGACAGTTCGGTGCGTTCAACACGTCAATACCTCTCACAAAGACAAGAAGTGATGAAGTCAATCTCTCCTCTACTTTGAGCCAGGAGAGATTGACGTGCATGTTCTTGATATTAGCCCTCCGTGTACATTTAAGGGTCAGCCGTGCTGCTCTTTTCTAGGCCAACTGTAATTTTCCTATGTACTTCTTTGCAGCACTTGACCATATAACTGGGCAGTAGTCTAGGTGTGATAAAACTAGGGCCTGTAGGACTTGTTTGCTTGACTGTGATGCCAAGAAAGCAGAGCAGCGCTTTATCATGGACAGACCACTCACCATCTTAGCAACTGTTGCATCAGTATGTTTTGACCATGACAGTTTACAATCCAGGGATACACCAAGCAGTTTAGTCACCTCAATTTGCTAATTTTCCACATTATTCATTACAAGATTTAGATTAGGTTTAGGGTTTAGCGAGTGATTTGTCCCAAATACAATGCTTTTAGTTTTTTATATATTTAGGACTAGCTTATTGCTAGCCACCCATTCTAAAACTGACTGCAGATCTTTGTTAAAGGTTGCAGTGATTTCACTTGCTGTGGTAACTGACGTGTATAACGTTGAGTTATCAGTGTACATAGACATACAGGCTTTACTTAATGCTAGTGGTAGGTCATTAGGAAAAATTGAAAACAGTAAAGGACCAAGACAGCTGCTTTGAGGTATACCACACTCTACCTGGTTTACGTTAGAGAGGCTTCCATTAAAGAAAACCCTCTGTGTTGTGTTTGATAGGTAGCTCTCAATCCATGAAATGGCAGAGGATGTAAAGCCATAACACATATGTTTTTTCAGCAGCAGATTATGATCGCTGTGTAATGAACTGGAGTCAAACACACACACACATGCACCCGCACTCACACACACACACACACACTTTTGTCCTCACCTGTCTCTCCCCACACAGGGAGGTACTCATCCTGTTGAATGTCCAGCATGAGCTCCAGACCGTTTCCCATCCCTCCCTTGGTAGTTATGAGAGGGGTGCGGCCCTCACCCCCTGCGTTGAACGTGTAACACTTCCCATAGCGAGTGAACACCTGAGGAGAAAGATGAGAAATATGAAAGGAATGAGATAGCAAGGCCAGATGTCCTGGAACCATCCCTCACAATAGCAGGACCATATTCATCCAGATGTATGGCTCTGCGCAATAGTTTCTGTAAGCCAAGTTTTCTTCCTTACTGTAACTTGCCACTGGGGGTTAGTGTTAGTCTACATTAGACACAACAGTGCCATGAGTGATGAGAGTATTCCTCTGGGTTTGGGGTTACATAATCATCTGACTGAGGTGATGGAGACCGGCAGCCAGTTATTTAACATTCCCTCACAACCTCTTTATTATAGCTATAATAGAACTGCTGTAACCATGGAGACCAAGCATCCCTGCAAAGAACATACTTTATATGTTGAACATTGAGTCATATTTCAAGGAACAAAAGGTAAACATTCAGAAAACGTCACGGAACGGTACGGCTGCTGTGGGAACTCATCAACTGTTATGATGGCTTATGACATAAGTTATCGCAGCATGTCAGAAGTCACACTAGGCCCATAGATGGAGGACTGAAGCAATGCTATGAGAAACTCACAGAGTAAAGAAAGAGCACATCTGGTAATGCAGGGCACAGAAAGGGTAGTAAGTGCAGTAACATTATGTTTCATAAAACTATATTGAACAAAATTATAAAAGCAACATGCAACAATTAAAAATATTTTACTGAATTACAGTTCATCAGTCAATTGAAATAAATAAATTAGGCCCTAATCTATGGATTTCACATGACTGGCCATAGGCCCACCCACCTGGCAGCCAGGACCACCCACTGGGGTGCCAGGCTCAGCCAATCACAATGAGTTTTTCTCCCAGGGCTTTATTACAGACAGAAATACTCCTCAGTTCCATTAGCTGTCAGGGTGGCTGGTCTCAGACGATCCCGCAGGTGAAGAAGCCGGATGTGGAAGTCCTGGGCTGGCGCGGATGCACGTGGTCTGCAGTTATGAGACCGGTTGGACGTACTGCCAAATTCTGCCAGGTTTTCCCCGACAAAAGGGTTTTATTACAGACATAAATACTTTTCAGAACTTGAGACATCTGTGGCATTGTGTCGTGTGACAAAACTGCACATTTTAAAGTGGCCTTTTATTGTCCCCAGCACAAGGTGCACATGTGTAATGATCATGCTGTTTAATCAGCGTCTTGATATGCCAAACATGTCAAGTGGATGGATTATCTTGGCAAAGGAGAAATGCTCACTAACAGGGATGTAAATAAATTTGTGCACAAAATTTGAGAGAAATAAGCTTTTTGTGCTTATGGAAAAGTTCTGGGATCTTTTATTTCAGCTCATGAAACACGGGACCAACACTTAACATGTTGCGTTTATATTTTCATGTTCAGTGTATAAACAACAGCATGGAACTATGCTCATGTCTACAGTAAGTCATAAGTCATTTGTATTTATGACACTTGGGGAGTGTGATTTGAGTCACTCAAATCAAATCAAATCTAATTGTATTTGTCACATGCGCCGAATACAACAGGTGTAGACCTTACCGTAAAATGCTTACTTACAAGCCCTTAACCAACAATGCAGTTCAATAAATAGAGTTAAGAAAATATTTACTAAATAAACTAAAGTAAACATTTTAATAAAAAGTAACACAATAAAATAACAATAACGAGGCTATATACAGGGGGTACCGGTACCGAGTCAATGTGCGGGGGTACAGGTTAGTCAAGGTAATTTGTACATGTAGGTAGGGGTAAAGTGACTATGCATAGATAATAAACAGGGGGTCAATGTAAATTGTCCGGGTGGCCATTATTTTATTAATTGTTCAGCAGTCTTATGGCTTGGGGGTAGAAGCTGTTAAGGAGCCTTTTGGACCTAGACTTGGCGCTCTGGTACCGCTTGCCGTGCGGTAGCAGAGAGTACAGTCTATGGCTTGAGTGACTGGAGTCTTTGACAATTTTTTGGGCCTTCCTTCCTCAGCCCAAAGAGAGAGAGGGGATTGAATTGAATTGAATTGATTTTGGGTAACAGACATATACAACAAAATATACAATGTGGACCCAGAGGATATCACTTGAAAGTATAATTAAAACGCTTGTTTCCAAAGTGGTCCTCGATGGTAAAAAAAAAAAAAAACATATAATGATTAAAAGACAAGAACAAATGACAAACAACCATAAATACATAAATTTATATTGACATCCTAAAAAGTGACACTATTCACTGCACTTTTCCCTAACCTTAAAAAGATAACCTTGTCCAAATGAAAACCTTTGCCTGCTTTTTAAAGCTATTTCTACTTTTTCTTTGCTTGATCTCCAAGGGGAGGCTATTCCATAGACACATGCCTATATAGAAAAATTTGCTCCTCGAAATACTGTTTCCTCTTGGCCTTTTACAAGACATAACACTAGCTCTGGTACTGTAACTGTGTTGGTTATAGACCATATCAATGCAGTTTTTCATATAACCTGGGGCACGATCATTTAAGATGTCAAACATATGATAAAGTTTAAGTTGGTCCACTCTGGACTCCAAAGGCAACAAGCCCACCTTCCGGAACTCCTGTAGCCCTATGTGGGTCCTAGGGGGGACAATCAGCATATACCTGATAACATTATTTTGCATGATCTGCATTCAGCTTTTTTGATAGCCCACTATACCAAGCAGAGCAGGCTTAAATCAAAATGACACTGAATCAAGGTTGAGACAAGCAGTTTCTTAACTTTGATGTTAAAATATCTAGTTTTATGATATAAACATTTCAATTTGTTCGCCATTTTATAAATAATTTTAGCAGCAATCAGGTCTCCAGTAAGGGATTGATCTAGGGACTCACCAAGATAAATTACACTTGTTTTAGATTAAATCTCCTTGCCTGCACAGTTGACCATTATCTTGTCAGCCCTAAGCAATCTACGTTTTGTTCCAAACAAAATCGATTCAGTTTTTCCCAAATGTAGTGACAATTTGTTGTCAGTCAACCAATCTCTAACAAAATGCAATTCCTTACTCAGGGTCTCCTCTATGTAAACTGTATCCTTTCCTGATACCAGTATGGCTAAGCCATCAGCATAAAGAAGGAGTTTGCACTTTACTGTATCTGGCATATCATTAATATATATAAGAAATAAGAGAGGCCCTAAAATTGATCCCTGCGGTACTCCACAGGATATTTCTTTGGCCTCTGACAGAACATCCCCAACATTACATACTTGTGTTCTGTTGGTCAGATAAGACCTAAACCAATTCACTGCTACGTCATTTAGACCCATGCATTTCAGTTTCATCAGGAGAATATAATGGTCCACAGTGTCAAAAGCTTTCTGCAAGTCTAACATGACCATACCTGTATAGTTCCCATCTCACTTTCCTGCTTGATGTGGGCAAAAAGGTGGATAAGGCAAGTATAAGTGGAATGAGCTGTTCTAAAGCCAGATTGGAGTTCATAAAGAAGTTTGTGCTCGAGGGGAGAAAGAATTAGAGAGAGAGAGAAAACATTTGAGAGAGAGAGTGAACAAGAGAGAGAATAAGATGGAAAGAGAGGGAGAGGTTAAGAGAGGTAAAGAGTGGGAGCGGGCCATTGCTCAGCGTTATGGCGCAACATGACACGTCTGTGAATAGAGAGAGGGCTGACAAACAAACACAATGATTGTTGACTGAGTTTGGGCAGTGCCAAGGGCAGTTAGACAGCGTTGCCATCTATCATCACACACACACACACATACACACACACACACACACACACACACACACACACACACACACACACACACACACACATTTGTTTTACTAACCTGTGGGGACCAAACAATTGATTCCCATTCAACCTAAACCTAACTCCTAACCCTAACCCTAATTGTAATCCTAACCCTCCCCACTTGTCAGAACTTTCCTTGTTTTACTATCCTTGTGAGGACTTCTGGTCCACACAAGGATAGTAAAACCAAACACACACACACACACACACACACACACACACACACAATGGCTGACAATTACAGGATCAATGTTCAGTTTTCTCTGTCGTGAGGGACTGCTACCCAGCTATAGACTTGTAGACTGACTGGAAATCACTGTGGGGTAAATTCATTACTGATATTTTCAGACACACTGAATGGAGTATGTGAGTATTCTGGAGGATGTTTCTGTCATCATTGCCTAGACAAGATAATAGGCTTCTACTCTCAACCACTGTTAGAGCAAAAATACTCTCCTACCTCACACTATACTTCCATATTTTCTATGCATTCTGTAACAAGCTTCTACTCTGCTTCCATTCTGCTTCTACCCATCCACCCATCTCTTACTCACACGTTTTCCTAATTCCTTTACACTCTCTTTATCCATCATCAACGCTACCCCACTCCTTCCTCCTTCCTGCTATCCTCCCTCCCTCTCTTCATCCATTCCGCTGAACTTTGACTGGCATCGTCATAGACTTGTGTCTACTCTGCAGAGCCTAATGACATATGGGGAAGTTCCTAACCATATGTTAGTTCTATGTTAGCCTCTACATCTAACCTCAATGAGTGCATGTTCTTTCTGAATACATTAATGAATAAGGTCAGAGTGCCAGATGCTCTTTATGAACAAATGAATCAATGAATGAGTGTGTGATGTCAGCAAGTGCCTGTTCTTTATGAATACATTAATGAATGAACATGTCTTTTCTAAAGTTAGGAATTAGATTTTTATGTATAAAAAAAAAGAAAAAAATATTACAATGTAATGCCAGTTCGCGAATTAATGATTTAATTTGTGTGCGGCGTGCAGTTTGTCTTTGTGCACGTTGCTATCTATGCCACATTACAGTTGGCCTACATGATCTGACAGTGGTTTTGGAAGGCTCCCCTAATACACTGTTGACTCTATAAGATGACAGGCCACACTGACAGTTGAACACCAGAAGAAGAAAAGTGAAGGAAAGTTCCAGTTCCTTTGTGAATATGTAAATGTTTTAGGCATATAGTTTTCCTCCAGGGTTGTTGGGTTCATCTTTCCTTTTACTTTCTGCTGCCTTTGT